AAAACGCCCCTTTAAATCGTGTAAAGAAATCCGACCCAGACCGGGATTACGCAACCTGCGACGGCCCGTCGTGCCTGCGACGGTCCGTCTGGCAGGTCGTCGCAAGGTTCAGAGAATGGATTTTTATTGAAGGCTCTGTGACGGTCCGTCGCATCATGAAATGATAATTATTATTTTTTATATTATAAGTATTTTTGTCTTTATTTTTTTAATTCACAAGAAGTTATTACACATGACTTACCCCTCTTTAATTATTATTTTTAATAATATTCATAAATTTCATAGTTTTTATGTCTATAACCTCCAAACTTAAATTTGTAAGTTTATAATGTCTTATGATATTTCTCTATTTTGCCTACAAATTCATATTAGTTTCATAAAGATTCACATTCAAAATTATTCTTGCTCTTCTTCGTCATATTGTTTTGGTTTGTACCAAAAAAGAAGTACATGATGGTATGAATTATTTCATTTCAAGTCTTTATTTTTTATTTCCTCTATTTTGTCTATATATTTGGTTTGTGAATGAAATTAACATGTAACCAAAAAATAAAATAAATGAAGTTAATAAATATTTCATTCTCAAGTTCTTATTTTTTGTTTATAAATTTATATTTACTTTTATGAAGATTCACATAGAAAATTATTATTTCTCTTCTTCATCATATTTGTTTTGTGAATTATCTAACATCTAACAAAAAAGTACACAAAGGTAAGATATATTTCATTTTCAAGTATTTCTTTTTATTTCTATGTACTTGGACATACTTTTTTAATTTTTTTATGTTTGTATTATCATTCATCAAGCCAGTTGGATTTTAAAAAATGTCTTTGTAATTCTTAAGATGTGTTGTAAGTATGCAATTATTTTTCTAATAGTCAGTTTTTCGAATATAATATTGTGTGATAATAATATTTGTTAAATCTCAAGAAATAATTATTGTGTAGTATTGTTAGTAGTATTGAAAAAATAATATACAAATATATTACATATAATTTAAATTTCTTTGTTTCCTTTGATATAATTTTTTTTAATTAGGATATGATATTTTATTTTTTTATTTTTACTGAATTGATTGCATATGATAAAGAGTTTGATACATAGAGCAAAATATGGTGACGGATCTACTTGCAAATGAAGATGATTGGGGGGGGGGGGGATGAAACATAATTAGAGATTATTTTTGCAAGATTTTTTTTTTACTTTGACTTGTATTAGTAACTTAGCTACTTTGCTAGAATTTTTGTAATTTTGGTTTGTATAAATAATGTAGTTAAATGTATTGTCAATGCTAATCATTTGATCATTAACTATTCTACTTTTTCTTTGTTACGAAGAATAATTAATATTATTATCCTATTTCAACAACAACAAAAAATTATGATGATTAGGAGTTTCATTTTTATTATACTTGCAAAAGAGTAATTGAAAAAATAAAATATTACTTTCATGATGCATTTTTTTTTGCGTATGTAACAATTTGTTTCTGTCATCGTTCATTTTGTTTGAAATGCATTTATAATTTTTATGCAGTCACCAATTATTATTACTATTATTATTATTATTATTATTATTATTATTATTATTATTATTATTATTATTATTATTATTATTATTATTTTGTTCATTTTTTGTTTTTATTTACCCCTTATTTTCATTTATTTATTTTATACATAAAATCAATACATAAGTGTTAATACATTTAATGTCTAATAAAATTATACATTTGAATTACTTATAACTCATGTCTCCTCATCTTACTTGTAACTTCTAATATTAAATATTATTCATAACTTTTGTATATTTCATTTTTTGATAATTCTTATAAATATTAAGTTAATATTTAAAAATTATAATAAACAAATGTAATAATAAAGACATAATAAAGATTCTTTTTTACTAAGAGTTTGTATAGAAAATTAGTACTCCTATAAAAGATAGAGCAAATTAAAATATATAAAATATTTTCAATGTAATACAATATATTGTTAATTTCAACATATTACCTCTTATTCCATAATTTAGTCTACCACGGTGAATGTTTTGTTCAACTATATACATATGAATAGTTTGCACTTAAAAAAATACAAATATATATATATATATATATATATATATATATATATATATATATATATTTTATATGTTTAAAAAAATGAAAAAAAATGTATGACATCATAGATGAAGAGAAATATTGATATTATCTTATATATAAAATACTAACCTAAATATAAATAATATATATAGTCGCGCGAAGTGCGATGATTTCGCTAGCAATAGATAGATTTGAACAACTATAATACCAACCAATAATCACTTGTTTGTACTTTTCAGACTTCTAGTTTCTATACTAAATAGTCAATAATTCATGTCTCATATTAGAGGATCATTTCACTAAATATGGTGTTCGCATATATATTACTTCATTGCTTACTATATTAAGATTAATTAATTATTTTTTCTCCCTACAATTAATATGATCCCTGAAAGTTAAAAATAAATTTTGAAAATTCAATTTTTTCCCAGGAAGCTAACTAATATGAACAAAAGATAATAGGTAAAATTAAGTGGTAATATCTCATATGATCACTCAACTAATATTTCTTTTCACAGAAAGTCACTCAACTTTCATTATTAACCTCAAAGCCACTTAACTATGTATTGTTTTCATAGAAAGTCACTCAACTGATAGTTTTCACATAATGTCACTTAACTTTCTTTTATAATCTCAAAATCAGTCAATTATAAATATTTTACCTACAAGTCGCTCAACTTTCGTTATTTCATTTAAGAAGTCATGCAATTAATTTAAATATTTTTTTTATTAAATTTTATTAAAATACAGTTTTGTTAACAAAATAATATGTTGCTTATTTTAATAATTTTAATGAAACATATTTTTTAATAACTAATTTCTTAAAAAAATAATAAGAGTCTCATTTTCATTATTTTATTAAATTTATTGAAACATTAATTTTGTTTTAAACTAATTTCTTGAAAATAGTAAAATACTTATTTAATATATTATTTAACTTTGTTGAAAGATAAATTTTTTAAAAACAATTTTTTTAGATAAAGAAAATGTTCTGCTGCCAGGCACCAACACTGGTAACGGTGATGATGCCATGCACGCATCATTTTCGATTTAAAAATATCCTACCTTGTAAACCTTAATATTTTTGTATTAAAATCATAATAGTTATTGTTCCTTAAAAAATTAGTCTAAAATTAGAAAAAAAATTGTTCAACGAAATTTAAAAAGATAATTAAAATGAATATTTATTATTTTTTAAAAATTTTAAACAAAATTGTATTTCAACAAAATTTAATAAAATAATTAAATGGGCATTTTGTTATTTTTGTAAAAATTTGTTTAAAACAAAAACTATCATAACAAAATTTAATGAATAAAAACTATAAATTTCTACTTTTACTCACAATCAACTCTTACTTTAATAAAGACATGTTGCATGCATTTTTAAAGTGAAAACAATCAAAAATAAAATACGATAATTAAAAAAAAAATAGAAAAAGGTCAAATTTTAAAACACGAAATTTTACTTGCGTACATTTGATTAAACTTTCACTTTAGGAAATTTCTAACCACTTACGTTTGAAAATAAGGATATAAAGTAACTTTTTGTTCAATTACGGTTATAGTAGTAATTTAGGAAATAAAGTTACTTGAGTTTGTTAAGTAATTTGAGTTTTTTCCATTAGGGTAATAAGATGTGTATAAATAGATAACTGTCTTTGTTTAGACTTCATAATTCACATAATTAGTATAGCTAGGTTAATTGTGGATCAAGAATCAATGTCGAAGCAAATGGGAATACGTTTTCATCCTACTGATACGGAGTTAATCAACTATCTTAAGAGGTTTTTCAAAGGTGAATTATCATTAAATCAACAATGTCCTATCCAATTTGCGGATATATATGGAGATCAACCACCATGGGAGATATTTGGAGCTAATTCTAAAGAGAAGTTTCATTACTTCATTACTCCTCTGAAGAAGCGGAAGATTAAAGATAAAAGGTTTTGTCGAACTTGTGTTAAAGGGACGTGGAAAGGGCAAACCGCAGAAGATCTTATAAGGAGGAATAATATGGGTCCTGTGGTAGGGTTTAAGAGAAATTTCAGGTTTGAAACAAGTGAGTGTGGCCAAAATAAAACCTGGTTGATGATAGAATATCGTGTTGCGGATAGTTTCTTTAAGGAAAACAATCATATTGTTAAAGAAGATTTTGTAGTGTGTCGAATCAAGAAGAAGAAGGATGTGGATCATCATGTTATGGATGCAGAAGATGAAGGTGTTGCGGGTGTTATTGATCCTATGTTGTTGCTTGAACCTAATCATAATAACGACTACTCCACAACGGAATTAGATCAAGTTAGGGTTTGTGAGGCTATAACTTTGAATGATGATGTTCAAAACAGTAATACAATGGAGAATAGAGAGACATCGTTGGAAGTAGAAGAAAGCGACAGAGTTGATGGTATTAGAGGTGATGAAGATATGTGTAGAATATTCGAGGACATCCTTGACGTTGATATTCCTAATGTAATTGATGATATTAAAAGTGATGAAGATATGTATAGAATGTTTGAGGACATCGTTATTGGTATTCCGGATGAATGGTTAGAGGATTCATTAGTTTGAAAAGAAATTGTATATAGTTTAATTTTGCTCATGTATAAATAAAGATACATTTTGTCGATGTTCTGATTATGAATTGTGCTAACCCGTCTCTTTTTTAGGTTAATCCTAGCTAACTCCATATAATTAGTGGGTACAACGAATTAAAGAAGTAATATAGGGGAAAAAACAGGCAACCAGACATTAATTATAGTTATGTTTTAATTATACTGCTAAATTTTATGAATTTAACTGAAGCATGACCTACCGAGTACGCATATCCTGTATTTGACATGAAAAATAATAACAGCAGCGTGCATTATGAATCACTGGTAGGTGTAGTATCTGCTGCTTCAGATGATCTAACTATTGCTTCAATAGTGTCCATGTCAACTGTCATAACATCCTCAACTTCAGCCTCAGCCTCAGCCATTACTTCATCTGCATCACCTGCACTCGCTATAGGTTCCACTCCATTAGATTCAATTGGGGAACCCTTCGTTTCTGTTTCTGTCTCTGCTTCTGTTGCAGCATGTTGTATGGTATATGGATCGCTAGAGATAGTCAATGTTGATGTAACTAACAAATTCTGCAGACACCGTAAAGCATGAATGAATACTCCACAACTAGTAGTAATTACAAAAAAAGACCATATTCAAGATTTGCAACTAAGGAGTTCCCTCCAGAAAGTTGTCATTCAAGATTTGGACGTTAACAAGTGTTGAGATGACATCAATGAGATTAAACAATGTGAAACTTTATAAGCACTAAAAGGCTCCACATAGGAATCAAACCTTTTCTAGAGCCAACGCTAGCTTTGACAGCTTGGAATAAATGTTCCGCGCATCCAACAAAATCTGCTCAATATTAATCAACAGATTAGAGACAACGAAAAACCAATATATCAAATGTTTATATTGAAAACCAGAAATCAGTCATCAGCATGAAGAGAATCATTGTAGCAGTGAATAGAACTACTAAATACACTAAAAATAACACCTCATATTGAGCATACTCCCACTAAGACGACTTCTATACTAGAAAAACACAATCTTTTCCATGAAATAGAGAAACACAGCAATGAATTTAAAGGAAAATCATGTAGAATTAAGCACTAACATATCCAACATCGTGAAAATTGAGATTGAAAAAGACTTTCACCTCACAAAGTCTTTGTAACGTAAATGGAGGGCCTTCAACAAAGCTGTTGAGAGCTGCAAAATCAAGGTAATGCGGGAAAGATCAAAATCAGAGTAATGAACCAGAAGACAAGAACTTATCTCAACTGCATCAGGAGAAAACCAAACAAGATGTGAAATGGTAATATATTTTAGAAGTTTGGTTACAAAGTGAGCCTGGAGAAAACACCATTGAAGCACCCACAAAGTATAACAACTTCAGACTTTAGTTCAACATCCAAGTTAAAAGGCTGATTTGATATAATAAAATTTTATTTGACAGGTAAATGAAGTAACATATCAGGAGTTACTTTTCACATGATACAATGTGCTACATTATTTTTTCAGGTGAGTAGTTTTCCAGTAACAGGTTGAGCCGGACATGCCTTAATAACCATAACTGAGAGATCAGCAGGCAAATGAAAACTCTTCAAATTTTGAAAGTGAAGCAGATGAATCAGCTTAACTGCTACCACAGAAGAGAGTAACAACACTAAATGGGAACTTTTTCTTGTTTATTTGAAACTGTGACAAATCATAACCCGCTCCTGGCATGCAGAAAGTGGAATATGCCTAGTGGGAGATTTTCCTTTGAACACCCCTTAGAGACACCCACCTTATAAGCAGTCAGAGGTTGGAAATTCTATTTGGAAGCAAGCACATGGTACGAACATCTTAAAAATGGGAGATGAAAGATTTCTCTTTGAATTTGCTTTTAGATCCACTGTAGAACAGATTATGAAGGGTGAATGGTGTAGGAAGAATCTCCTCGTCCAGCTGCAATGGTGGTCTGCATTGATAGGAGCAATCAACAACAGTGAATTACCCAGTTCAGTATGGACCAGACTAGTTGGATTAACTTTGCAATCCTGGCCACAAAAGGCCTTTCAAAGCTATTGGAGACAACTGTGGAGGTTGGTTGGATACGGAGGAGACGACGCAACTTCAGAATCACTTGAAATGGGCCAGGATAAGAGGGGAGGAAAGTGAGGTTCCAAAAGAAATAACCTTGGAGGAAAATCCGGCAACTTCTTCCATCGGAGAAGACAAAGGAGAACAACGGGTGGAAATTACAGCGACTTCAATTGGTGTCTCACAAGGGTGGTCCCTCACACTAGAATGAACAAAAATGAGCATTGGGAGGAGATTGCAGCAGCCAGGGTTTGTGGGACGGTCCTTGTCACTTGTGGAGAGTCAAAATTCCTTTCAAGGTTTCTTGCTTTGTCTGATAAGTGGCAAGGAAAGCTTACTTGACCCAGGAGAAATTCCAAGAGGACTTCAAATTTATTCAAAATGTTCTTTATGTGATCAAGATGGTGAAAGCAATGAACATCTTTTCCTGCACTGCAGACAACTACAAATTTGTGGCACATGTTCTGTTGCCTGGCATTAACTGGACCATGCCTAGTGCTACTATAGGAAATTTTAACTGCTAGAAGAGTGTTTCGAGAAGAAGATTGGTGGCAGATCATCCCAGCTTGTGTATGGTGGATAATATGGAAGGGAAGGAATTCAAGATGCTCTGAAGATAAAAGCAATCCCATTCAGAAAATTAGAAAGCTTATTTTTGTGATAATAAAAACAGAACATGGGGGGATTAGGTAAACTAGTGCATCTAGAAGGAATGCGTAAATTTTTTGTTTTGTCCAGGATCCTCCTTATACTTTTGTATGTAAAGACCAGAATCAGCTCTTTCTTTAGCTGATTTCACTGTTAATACAAGTGGTTACCTTCATCCAATAAAAAATAATAATAAGACTGTCATCAAGCAAATATTGAAAATAGATATAAACAGACATTCTGGACAATAAGTTGACCATCAGTACATATATGCAGTACCAATATGCAAATGCATTTATTTGACCATTTCACAACAACCTAACCAAGAAGAGCATTATTTACTCCTACTCCACTTCTTCCTTTTTCCTCCATTCAACCTTTTTTTTACATCACATTTCCTCCCTACTGCCTAAGAGCATGCATCTTAAAACATCAACATTGAACATCCTAACAAGTAGTGAGACCCCAAGCTAAACACCCAAAAAAAACAGACATCCGAACACATGTTATACAGCTGCCCACACAAAAAGCACGACCAATTTTAGGAGAGTCCTATACTTCCATGGCACCCCAAGCTAAACACCAAAAAAAATCTAACATCCTTACACATGCATACTACTATGGCATGTGAATTTCTTTTTTTGGCCTCCAGTAAGCACAGAAAACAGGACAATACAGGAATGTATTCTAGAAATATGACACATTATGTATTATCTTTTATTATTTTGGATAATAACAACACTGTTGTTCCTATCAGCCAGCGCGGATATTGACTTTTCCACCGGGGTACCTACCATCTCCCACCAACACATGGATTGGTAACTCTACCTACTAATCAATTTTAGGAGAACCATATACTTTTATGGCTTGTGAATTTTTTTTGCCTCCAGTAAGCGAACAAAAACAGGACAATACAGTAATGTGTTCTAGAAAGAAAAAAATATATTCTATCAGCATATTTTTCTCATAGAATTGTTACAGACAAATAAAGCTAATTGTCCCTCCCCCATGTCAAAGGAGAACGACAGGAATAGGTAAGCCAAATTACTGCGGGAATACCATCATCCAACCTCTTAACCAACTCAGGTAAGCTCTCTTCTAAACAGGACTGTTGCTGTTCAATAGTCATTTTTGCCTCGGGATAATCTGACAGGACCTTCAATAAAGCATTTAAGAGTGGTTAAAAGTCCATATACACAATACAGAAATATTAAAACACCATAAATTGGAAGACGACTATAAAAGTTGTCATACACAAACAACTTGGCATACCTGCTTAAGATGGAATGACAGCATGCCCTTGAGTTTGTCCCAGTCATGCCTGAGCCAAACATACACAAGATAAATTGTTCATGACACGGAACTTCTAAAATCATAATGCAATAAACAAGAATACAACAGAGACAACTCTTTTTTGTTCTTTTCTTTTTCTTTTGGATCAGAATACAACTCTTTTCTTCTTCTTGAAAGAGATTATTGTGTAGAATTTAAGATTCTCCAAATGTACTTCCCTAGCTAAAAATGAGAAAAGACAGTCCCACATGGAACAGCTTTTATCACACACTTCAAAAAGTTCAAATTTTGTATACAAAGAACTAGAATTTAAAATTGAATCTATTCAATTTTCTCTTCTGATCTAGATATAGTTTCTCCTAACCTGGACTGAGAAATGAAACCCTCAAAGGTGCTCCTTGAAAGTGGGGAAGAACAAACAAATTATCATTAAGCAGGGGCAAATAAGTCGATAGCAGTGAAGACTGAACAAACAAATAATAACATTCCTTGGATGGTGAAGTGAACATGATAAGTGGGTCGGTCAAGATCACTCATCATGCTTCATGGCCATTTCGTGGTACACGTTCCATTTGGTTACGAAGTTGGATTTGTCAAGCTTAAGAAACCTATTATTTCGGACAAAACCACTAGATCAAGTGGAATATACTACCAAAGAAGGTCGCAAAATACTTCCAAGATATATATATATATATATGTATGTATGTATGTATGTATGTACATATTACATAGCAAGTTTCAAGAATTATAGTCTAATAAATTTTTTGTCTAATTTCTTCAATTTTTATATATTTAAAAAATCATATAAATAATTTTTTTACTGTTTAACAAAATAATAAATTTGGTTGACTCTTGAAATTTTATCGGTGGCACAAAAAAAGGGGACAAAAAAATGATTTGCATTATTTGAAAATTACGTAAAAAAGTATTGTAAAATTTCTTTAAAATTATATATTTGCCCATAAATTGATAAAAGAAATAATATACAACATTTGAAAATTACCCAAAATATTACAAATTATAACAATTAACATAAAATATTTTTTAATATATATATATATATATATACACACACACACACACACACAAGTAGAGACAAAATAAGAGAACGAAAGAGACATGGTATCTTGTGTACTATAATCTCAGCACCTACAGGGCTACAACAATAATGTCATCAAGCCTTCCAATTGAACTCTCTAATGGAGCATGCAGCTAATAAACTTCAAACCTTACCAGGCCAAACTGAGCCAAGCCAAATTTTTGTATGTTGCTAGCCCAGTTGTTTTGTCATGTTAGTAATTAATGTTTGATGCATTCTGCTCATATTTAGGGCATCTTCAACCCCATTCTCCATTTTACACTCCAAATATAGAGTTCTCTATTTTGCAATTGGAGCCTCTACACTATCTTGAATTAGTGCATTAAGATCGCATTCATCCTCGATTATCATGTTGTGCAGTATAATAAATGTAGTCATTATATCATGTAGCACTTCGTTTCTCCAAAAATGTGGCAGTCCTGCAATAATTGCAGAACGTGATTGCATAATTCCAAATGCACGTTCGATATCTTTTCGGCACGATTTTTGTTTCATTGCAAAATACTTCTTCTTTTGGGAACATGGATCACGACTAGTTTGGACAACTGTAGAACATTTAGGATATATACTATCTGCTAAATCATAACCCATGTTGTATTCTTTTCCTTGACTAACATTAAGGGCGGAGAGGCGCAATACAGCTAGAAGATTTTGAAAAATAAATGTGATGACTCTAAAACATTAATATCACTATTTCTGCTGGGCAAACCAAAATATGTCTGCCATATCAAAAGGTCATAATCCGAAACAACTTCATGAATAAGTGATCCACTACAACCTGGACAATGCCCAGCCACACCGTTGGAATTGAAGTCCGCACATTCATTTAATTTCAAAACAAATTCTAATATTTTTATTTGTCCTTTAAAAGAATTTCTGTCCTAGAGATTCATCTAATAATAATGATGAAATTTTATCTTCATCATCTTAGTTGGAATTTGTTTTTTAGATAAATATAGTTATATGTAGATATTAGTAGGATAGAATGTAATCTTGATTTTTACCATTGAATAGATTTCACCTTATTATTAAGGTAGGATGAATTATATGTAAATATTAATAGGATAGAATATAATATGGTATGTACATAGAATTTTATTTATCTAAAATAAATTTGATATAAAGATGAGAATCTCATCCTCCGGTTAATAATAAGGTCTATTCAATGGTAAAAATTAAGATTACATTCTATCTTACTATCTACATATAATTTTATTTATCTAATTTGAGATAAAGATGAGAATCTCACCCTACAGTTAATAATGGTGAAAGTATCTAATGGTAAAAATCAAGATTACATTTTATCCTATTAATTTCTCCATATAATTCTATTTATCTAAACATAATTTTGAGATAAAGATGAGAATCTCATCCTACGATTAAAATATGGTGAAATCCATCCAATAGTAAAAATCAAAATTACATTCTATCCTATTAATATCTATATCTAATATATTTGAATTCAATTCTTGTCACTTAGGCAAAATAATATATTCACGTTTCGTCAAATTAATTGAAAAAACGTCTCGATCTTGTGAATACCTTGTCAATGAGAATAGACTATTATGTCAAATTTATGTAGACAACTCTCAAGACCTAATCACTGGCGTATTCCAATCCTATGATCAACTTTGGGGTTGGGTTAAAGAAAACTATAATAATTCAAAGGAAGAATTATGGATATATCGCAGCAAAAAAAATCTTTGCAATGTCGAATAGCCATAATTGAGAGGGCAGTAAGAAAATTAAGTGGATGTATTAGACAAACTGAAAATTTGCATCCTAGTGATCCTTCAGATATAGATATTATGAGTGATCATTTTGTAACTACTAATAATATATTTATATATATATACTTATTATACGACTTCGGTTCATTTTTTCTGCAAATTCATCAAAGAAAAACCGCTACTTATGCAAGTACCAACTTATAAAAAAGATTTTAAGTTTGATCATGTATGGAATTTGATGAAAGATTTTGAAAAGTTTAAGGATATTGATACCGAAAAGAGAAAAGTTCAAGGACAAGGCTTTCTTGCTCTTCTTTGCAATCATCAAACTCTGGAGCTCCTATCTTGAATCATCTATAGTATCATCTCCTAACCTATCATCATTTTCACTTAATTTAAATGAGGATTTTGCAGGTGATTACACTTCATCAGAACGACCTATTGGGTTGAAGAAATCAAAAAATGAATAAAACAAAAGATAAAGGTCTTTCATTAGTCGTGAAAGTTTTCGAAGCAGAAAATAAACGACTTGGTAAGATGTTGTCAGAGTCAGCTACAATTTTTTTAGAATGATAACTTAAAGAATATAGAGAAGAAAATAAAATTTTAAGGACAAGTTTAGAAGCTATTAGTGATCCAACTGTTCGAGAATACATGCGACAAGATCAACTACGGATAGTTGAAAAAAGAAATCAACCACAGCCGCAATCACAACCACAAATTTTCTAGATCATACACTAGTTATTTCTGAATATTGGTGAATCTAGAAATGAACTACCGGACTACTAAATTATTGTTGTAATTTTAAAATTATATTGTTATGTATTGTATTATTGATTATTATGTTATGTATTGTATTTTTAAATTAAAATTTTCATCTTTATCTTTTAAATTTAATGCATTCTTCATAGTGAAAAAGAATAATAATTTTAAATTATATCACTTAAAAGTGAAGAAAACTGAAAAAGTTGTTTGAAATATTATAAATTTTCGGAAAAATGCACAAGTAACCCATCAACCTATGCCCGAAATCCCAGAGACACGCTTATACTATATTAAGGTCCTATTAACCCCTCCCCCCCCCCCCCGAACTTATTTTAGAAGTAATTTTCTACCCTTTTACGGCCTACGTGGCACTAACTTGAAAAAAAAAGTCAACTAGTGTTGACCCCACAAGATAGTGCCACGTAGACAAAAAAGGGGTAGAAAATTAATAATAAAATAAGTTCGGGAGGTAATAGGATCATAGTATAATATAAGTGTGTCTCTGAGATTTCGGGCATAGGTTGAGGGGGTACTTGTACATTATCCCTAAATTTTGGATGAAAGTAGTATATACTAACATATATATTTTTTAAAATGTTTTATTACATTAAAAAAGAATTACGAATATTACAGATTTAATAATGTTCTTATATGATTTATAATATTTTAATTAGAAATGCTTTATAATAGAAATAATAATATGATAATCAAAAAGTGAAAAAGAGAATATTTTCAGTAGTTCTCCAAATTCACCTCTCTATAATTAGAGAATAGAGAGTGAAATAGAGAGTAGTTGGAGAACTCATTCTCTATTTTACTCTCTAAATATAGAGAATACTAAAATATAGAAGGGTTGGAAATGGTCTAATGGCTTAGATTCAGCTTGAGCACATCCATGTTATAAGACTAGTTTGATTAGAGACCAAACTCAAGAACTTAACTAGTCTTTGCTCTTTGAAGTACTCAAGTACAACAAACAGCTTAACTTGCAGCCAACTTGTACAATATTATAATAAACTTTAGATAGCTAAAAGAACTATCCTATCCAACCAACAATATACTCCAGTATAATGTTTTTAGTCTCAGGTTAAAGAATCTAACTTTCTTCAGTGACAATAAAAACCTTTGACGTTCTTGTAACCTATATGGTCAAATTTCCCAGTAAGTTCCGTTCCAACTTTGTTGAGCTAGTAAACAAGCAAGGCTAAGTTGTAAAGTAGTACAAGATAATGTCAATCACGAAAAAACTTGAATGAAAAAATACTTAGAAAATAAAAAGGAATATAACAATGCTCATACATGAAATACGAATATCAATCTTATAGCAATAGTATCACTATATTCTTTTATCTCAAAGATATTCTAGCTAAACTTGGGGCAATGAAAAAGTTGGAGCAATATGGTCACAGGTTCGAGCTAGGGAAGCAGCCACTAATTCTTCCATTACGATACGCTATCTATATCTAAGTTGCTCAGACTCCTGTGCATGTATCCGACATAGGTGCAAATCCGATGATCAGATTTAGCAAAATCTAAATTCAAGGTTCAGGGGTATGGATCTAGGTGCTAGGATTCGGATAAACATTTAAAATTATAAAACATAGCTATAGAGATATTCTAAATTTTGAAAGATCCTCTGAGGTTGTCTTCCCCAAGACCCCAACTTCTACTTTCATGCTCTATGGCTCTTCCCCTCTAATAAGAAAGAGAAAATCATTGCTACCGTCTACCAGAAGCCAGAACATGACCGGTAGAGTTCTTAGTTTCTTCCTATTTGGACTGAAACATGAAGCAATGAATATTGACGAAAACGAAAAACTAAGGAGAAGACAAAAGGACTACAAACTCGAAGGTATGTCATTTCCCATGTCTTAAATCTATTTTAGCTTTTATTTTGAGGAATAAAAATCTCAATTTCCCCAAAATGTGTCTATGGACTGTGATCAAAGTATTTGATTTGATCAAAGTATTTGAGCTTGGCTTAGCATAAACTAACTAGAGGTAGCCATAATTTTAGCAGGCCACTGAAACAAGATTTGTCTGTCAGATCAACTAAATGTACCTTGTTCATCCACATTAAACACTCACTTTAGGATGCGGCAAATACTAATATCGATCTTCCATTCAGATGCAGGTAAAAGAGTTTGCATAAAAGAACAACAGTAGCAAGATTATAGTCTGTGACAAAAATTTATCGCGTTAACCATTTCCACATCAGTTGAGCAAAGTTTAAAATGGGGCTAGCTCAAAACTGCAAATCTAAACTAGCCACTTGGAAATAAATAATATTGTAGGGCAAATTAATAGCATACCAATACTTCCCACTAGCTGCCATTACTTCAATTACACTCTTAACTTCTTCATCATTAATCTGCTCTCCAGATTCCATGCCTGCAGATCCCAATAATGCCCATAGTTAGTAGAAAGATGAAAACCCAATTTCGTATAGCGCAAAAATCACAGGAATCAGCCAAGAAATGATACATAAAGCAGCGTTCATTCCTTCTTAAAGCGGAAAATACACACATTTAGAGAAAATTGAATACCTGGTTGAGGAGAATCCATATATTCTCGAAGAAAAGGGAGGTTCACGCACCAAGATTAAACCCTAATTCATCTATTACAGAAGAGAGAATTTGTTTTGCAACTATATTTGAGGGGTTGGATGGGTCGGGTATGGGTCAAAGAAATTCATGTGGTTTGGGTAATGGGTATTGACTTTTTTTAAAAAAAAATAAAAATATCAAAAGTAGAGAGGATCTATTTTATTTTATTTTTTTATTTTACAAGTTATTTTTAATTTGTTAAATATTTTCAAAAATTAAAATAATTAGAAGTAGATTTGATCAATTTTTAAATCAATTCAAATCGGTAATAAAACTTTAACTGAAAATAAACTCGGACGAAAGAGCAACCATCATTAATGTCCATATTGGTGTATCTCTCTTTTTTGAATTATTTAATTGGTGCCATTATAACAAGTTATTATAACACCTTGTAAATTATAAATTAAGATTGAACAATTGAATTTTAATGGTGTAGAGGTGTTAAGGTCAATTCATAAATGTAAAAAAAAATAATTTGGAGATGTATTAAAGTCATTGGAATACTCTAGTAAAAAGTTTAATTGAAAATTTTATAACTAACTGAGTTTCGATATAAATTTTTACCCATGGCAATTCCAAACGGACATATATATTAGAATATGAAGAGTTGTGTGTTTCATAATCTATCAAATTAAAAGTATGTGACTCTAATTTTCTAACGCAACAAATCGTTCGACAATCTGATGTATAAGTAAGAAGTTATGCGCATTTTGTATCAATTAGGAGGACAGAAACAATCATCTCAATATTCAAGTTAAAATGTCCTTTGTGACATGTACTCATATCATATGTATGTTCTTCAATGTATTTTTCTACTTTCCACATGTTATTATGTTTATCCTAAAAAGAAGTCAATCTAAATAGACATTCTTATTTTAAATATTTACAAATAAGTTACCATGACAAGATGTTTGTCGATTTAATAAATGAGTACTCCTATCTTTAAATGTAGAAGCTTAACTATTCTTTCCAACTGCTTCTTTGAAATGAATATTATGCCTTTTTTAATATAAACAACACTATTCATAAAATCACTTCTTGTATGTTGTGATGCATATTCATAATGTGTATGGATAAAGATAATTGGACCATCTAAGAGATGATCATGATGAAGAATTTCATGAGAACAAAATGGAGACATACCCAATATGGGTGATGTGACTTCTAATTGTTGAGTTGATAGTAAAAAAGATTATTGACCATCAAACGGATTTATGGGCACTGGTCTTAGCGACTGATCGGGCATCAAAAGTTAATCATTACTAGATGATGTCTCAAATGAAACATTAGCTCTTGATATCTCCATATTAGGCAAATCATTCTTATCACTAGTTGAAGGTGAGCCGTAATTTGAAAGGTCATGATAATCTATATTCACAAGATAAATTGACTTATTTAATGTGATATTCTTTTTTATATGTGTAAAAACATTATTCGCAATAAATTTTTGATGCGTTGAAAATAACTGTAACAAAAATAAATAAAAGAAGATTGTGATTTTTATCAATGAATCTTATTATGTTATTTTCTTGATTCATCTCTCCTTGACTTCTCCAAGATTTGAGAGTTTTCAGTAGTATACTTCTCGAATTGTTAAATGATGTAGACCTCATTGAGAAGTATTTGATCTTCAAGTATGTCGAAAAATGCTTTGTCATCTCAAGTCTATCTTTGGGAAAAACTCTGTTGACCACTCCTTCGAACAATTGTATAGTTGGTGTTATAACTTTCTCCAATCTTTGCAGAATGCGTGTTGAAGAGTTCTCTTCGAATTGTATTCAAAATGTCTTTGAATATCATGCATATCCCTTATTTATAGTTGTAGAGGGTGGACAAGATTACTTATAATTGGTGAAAGATGTCATTTTGACACTTGGTAGATTGTGATTGGTTCCTAAATTTAACAAGACTACCAAATCATTTGGATGTATGGTGTCACCTTGTTAATCTTGAATGTTTAGTCATTGTGGTACGTGGCATGAGTTTGAACTTAAAGATAGAAAGGACCTAAGAAATTGAACTCAATAAAATAGACTTAATCATTCGTAAAGCCCACATTATACATTTAACTCAAATGCATATTAATTTAATTCAAAATTCATATGAATTTTAATCCAATAAAATTTATGTGTCTACAAACGTTCCTTACTTCGAGACTTGTCGATGTGTAGTCTTGCCAAAACTTGACGACGACACTTTAAGTATTCATTTAAGTGTTTTCATTTTTTTAAAACTTGTCGACTTGTGGGTTTGTCCAAACTTGATGACAAGATTTAAAGTATTCATGAATGTGTTTTAATTTTTTCAGACTTGTTGACGTGTAGGCTTACCGAAAATTAACGACGAGAGTTAAAGTCTTTATGAATGTGTTTTCATTTTGAGAATTCAAAAATATATGTTTCTTGTCATCGCACTCTAGTTAGGCCACTACAAATGATTTGTTTGCAGTGATCCTCATTGAGATGCGTTTGATCTCAGGTAACGTTACAAAAAGATTGTCATTTCAAGTAGTTTCCTTCAATCCTTGCAGAATGCTTCTTGAAGAGTTTTCTTCGAATTGTATTCAAAATGTCTTTGATATATTGTGATTGATTCATGAAGTTGACTAGATTAGCACATTATTTGGACATTCAAGATATTGGATGCCCAGTCATCAGTGGCGAACCCAGAATTTCATGAAGTTGATTAGATTAGCACATTATTTGGACAAGCGACATATTGAATGCACAGTCATCAGTGGCGGACCCAGAATTTTCAAGAAGCGGGCTCAAGATATAAAAAATAATACTAAAATATGGGAGTAGGGATTCGAACTCGGGCAGGCTGGAAAAGTTAAGTCATCTTCACCAATGTGCCAAGGGTCACACTTGTATTAATGGGGTCAAAAGTTAATATATACATATAAAATTTTAAAAATTGATCAAATATACATACATATATATATATATATATATATATGCGGTTTTATTTTTCAATGAAGTGGGTTCGTATGAACCCACTTGACCCTCTGTGGGTCCGCCCCTTCTAGTCATTATGACACGTGACATGAGTTTGGGCTTCAAGGTAGATGGACCTTGGATTTGAACTCAATAAAATGGACTTAACCATTCGTAAAGCCCAATTTATTCATTCAATTCAAATGCATATGAATTTAATTTAAATTTCATATGGATTTTAGTTCCATAAAAATTTAGGAAAAATTAGCAATTAAGTCATAATACATAACATATTTAGTCAAAATAACAATATTTTAAAATATTTATTTAAAATGTCAGAATGACAATATTTTAACAAATAAAATATATACTTATATAATTCATGTGAAAATTAGGCATATAGTATTTTATATAGTAATATTCTCAAATTATAACATTAAAGTTTGACTTTCAATATATAACATTTAATATATCAAACTACAACATATTATTATAATTAAAGTTTTATTTTAAATAATTGAAAATATTTATTTTAAAAAAAAGAAAAATAATGTTTCTATTTTAAAATAGAAAATAGCACAATTGTTGTGATTATAAATAATTTAATTTGATAACGGATAATAACTAATTAGCATATATTAAGGAATTAAAAAAAATCAGATTATTCAATTTCCTTAAAACGTTCAATTAAGTTGAAATCAAATTAAATTCTTATTTGATTTCTTAAAACGTTCAATTAATTTGAAATCAAATTAAAATTTGTGTTTTTTCCTCTATCGTGTTTCTCTCTCTTGTTTGCAGATTGCATTTTCGATTTTTTGCTGGGGAAAAAATGTGATTTATTGTGATGGACAATAACATATTCATATTAATTAAATATGGTGGAAGGTGGAATCCGTCAGGTTGGTATTTATTATAGTTTGTTGGTTTGTTTTTGGTAATTTTCTTCATTATACAATTTACGGTGTTTTTTGTTTCACAACGTGTATTAATAGGTACCGTATTTGCAACATCATGGAACAGTATAAACGTCTTAGTTTTATTAAAATTGAAACTTCAATTAATACGTGTTTTTTGAAGAAAAAAAGAATAATGATGAGTTAATTTAATAGTAAAAAAGTCAACGAAATTGATATTACAGTGCGTTTAGTAACATGCAAGAAAGAATTATTTATAACGTGTTGGATCATTGTTGTATGACATTTGTATTAAATGTGTATGAAGAGTGAAAGTTTTTTATTTGTATGACTTTTGTTTTGAAGAGAATTGTTTTTTATGTGTTTGGTGATGGAAATGTTAAATTTTTCTTTTAATCCAAAGTATAATTCTGTACCATTTACATTAATAACAGACATGTCATCTTTTACGTTTTCAGATTCAAGAAGAAAAATATGACTCAACAATTGACATTGGATTTTTATATTATGTAATTCATAAAAAAAAATCAAATGGTGTTTCTTGCAGAAATTGTTGGAACCTATCTTGACCAACCGAGGAACGTCAACAGATCAGCGAACACGTTCATGTTAGTACATGAAGGCCAATGTGTGTGTATCTTCTTCTCCTATAAAATTTGTAATACTAAATTAAGACTTTTAATGAAATAAATAATTTCATACTGACATCATTCATACGCTGCCATATAAAGGGACAACCACATCAATTCATACACAAAGCATAAAATAAAATTCTAAGGTACTTTCATACACAGACCATACAACACTAATACATCAATGCATATCTCAATTCATACATCATTTAAACACAATTTATACAAACTAATACGTCGATTCACAAATAAATCATACACTATTAAGACAAACTACGATTGTTAAAAATCTACTCTGTGACTTTCAAACTATAAAATAATACTTATACAGTACTAATACGTCAATTCATACATCAAATTCATACATAAATTATACAATAGTAATACATATTAAAATTGTCAAAAATCTACAATGTGACTATCAAACTCATAAATTGTACCCATACGATACTATTATATCAATTCATACATAACTCATACAACATTAATACATAATATGATTGTCAAACAAAATCAAAAATTATACTCACATACATATAACATTTTATTCAAATTTTAAATTAAGCATTTTACTTACCTTAATCACTTTTTTGA